GCTTCACGGGCTCTGTGTCGTCCCTGACAACCGTTCCTGCAGCAGCATCAGTCTCAACTGGGGGTGTCGCCTCGCTGTCGATGACGGATGTTGTTGTGCTCGCAATCGGGACGAATCCTCGCTCGTCAGCCGCAATGAGTCCAGGTGATTTGAGACCCAGTTCTCCACCCTCCAGCACCTCAAGAGATGGCGCTCCGAGTGAGGGGGTATGAGACAAAAGCTCCGTCGGGAATGTGGCCAGCTTGAGGTAATCTTGCCACTTTTTGGGCTTCCCCTCACCCGCGCGTTCCTCCGTGGACGACGGGCTGCCAGGTCGTTCTTCGCTGCCGGGGCTTGCAAGCACCTCCTCTTCCTCTTCAATCATTGGAGAAGTCAAGTCCGACCGGCCGTTTGACAGCATCTCGGCACGTCCGCCCTGCTTCAAGTGACGTGCCATCTGCGCAGATTCGCGCTGTCTCTTCTTTCTCCGTTGATCGTAGATGAAGCCGAAGCGGTCGGTGAGATACTCGCTTCCGATATAGTTATTGTAAATATGCGTCAAGGTTGGCGGCTGAGTCTCGGGTGGGAGGATGGCATCCATCTCGACGGGACCGTAACTCTCCTGGCGGTTCGAGGTCGCATTCGTCGGACTGTTCACCATGGTGTCCCATCTCTCTTGCGGTTGAGTCCTGGCGGTGGTATTGACGGGAGGAGCGTTCGCGGTGCCCGTGGTTCTGCGCATGGCCATGAGAGCTTTGGGGCCGCCCGCCGTCGAGACCGCTCTGCTTGACTGTGTGGTCTTGGCGCTGGAGGTTGAGGACGCTCGCGGGGTCGACTGCGACTGCGGTTGGGTAGCACTATTAGACCTTCCGCGGTTGGGGCCGCCCTCGCGCGTGTTGATTGCGCCTCCGGCCACCAGTCTCATGAGGCTAGCAGCGACCGAAGTTGAGGCTTTGCGTGAACCAGGGGGTCCAGACTGAATGCTAGACGCTCGACTGGGTGTTCTTGGTGGCACGCTTTCGGGCGGCACACCCTCGCTGGGTGGGCTGAAGAGATCGTCCTGAAGACCGGGCCGCCTATCGGCAGTGGACTGCGTCCTCACAACGGTTGAAGGTCTCGCGATGTCGTCGCCGTTGACGCTGCTGGGCATGCTGCCCTTCCTGCTGGTTCCGCCCCAAAGATAATCCTTCCATCCCCTCGCGGTTCCTCTTCCGTCGGGAACGGAGGGCATAGCTAGGTTGCTAGCGCGGATCGTGGCGTCGTTGCCATCAGTCTGTCCAAAGACGTTTACGTTGACGGTGTCCTGCATGGCATCGCTCATGAGGTCAGAAAGCCCGCTCTCGTTGCGGCGATTGCCGGGGCGTTCGGTCTTGACCTCTAGTTCGATCGTTCTTAATCTCTTCTCAAGGTCTAGGTTAGATAAGCCGCATTCCAGTATAATCTTGCGCAAAGCCCTCTCCCTTTCGTCGGCCTTCCTCCTCAGCTGGGCGATTTGGGCATCGCGCTGTGCCAGGTCGGTCGCAACCTGCCTGACGAGCGCAACGGCTCCATGCCTGGCAATGAGACGCCCAATGTGCTCATCGTCGGAGTGGTGAAGGGCACCTGGTATCTTGTGGGTCGAAATGGGCGAGTCCTCGAACAGCGCATCGCGAGCCGCTTGTTCGGCGGATGATCCAGTCAGATTGCCCAGCAGGGAGATGGGACCGGGCCTGGTATCGGAGATCTTGCGTACGGTGGGAGGAGCTTCGGGTTCAGGTGTCAGTGGCGGCGGAGGAAAGGCGTGTTCGCCCCTTGGTGAGTCGGGGGAGAAGGAAGGGAAGCTCGTCAGCGACTTGTCTTCGGAGGCGGCAATGGAGCTCGCGGAGCTCGAGGGCTGGGAGTTGAGTTTTGATCGTTTGGCTCGTACGGTATGTGAGCGTCCGCTTCTCATGGACGTTGCGCTATGCTGCGAGACGGAGCGCTCGAGAGGGAGAGTAGGCTCGGGGTCCATGTTGGTTGGCGGGCGATGATGTCGCCAAACGTCATGGTTTCCAAAAAAGCAAACGGCAGCAGGATGTTGCAGGATGCGCCCGCTGCTGTAAGCCTGCGTCCTGGCGAGAGGACTGACGGGTTGAGTGTTCTATCGGTGTGTATCGCGAGCTTCGTGGGAAGTAGAAAGGGAGGATAGAGAAAAGGGTGAGGTGCGCGACCTAGGTGAGTAGGTAGGAAATGTTTGGTGGATTGTAGCGCAGACGCTAAAGCGGAGAGAGCCCAAGAATGGCGGTAATGTCGAGGTCAGAAATGGGAAGTGTAGTCATTGTGTGTTGTGTGTGTGTGTGTGTGTGGGCGGGACGATATCATTATGCAATCCGACGCTCCTCCAAGTACCAAGCCAAGTCCAGCAATGCAATGGAAGCACATTTGCGGCTTTGCCTGACGTGGACCAGGGGTGGAAGGCAAACCGGGGGGCGATGATCACCCAGCATGTCTGGGGTGCTTCGCTGTGACTCTGCCCTGTATCCGTCGTAGCCTGTCTCCGTACTATGCAGTAGGTACATACTGCGTAGGTGAGCACTGCGAGCAGCTAGTGGCTACCTTGCAGTGGATAATAAGGGGACTTGGGTTCCGCAGCTTCCATCAAGATTCCATCCATCTCAGGTACGAGTACAAGCTCCAGCTCAAATTACCACCAATTTCATCCGTCTTAGCGCGGCGACGATACCTCCCGCTACGTATGGATACCTACCTTAGGTACCACCCGATGACATGCCTCTGAGGTGCGTCGGCCGCGATTACCTCACCGCAGGCCTCTTCACCTGCAGCCCGCTGCAAATCCACAAGTTGAGCCCTTGTCAAGTTGCGCGGAAGGAGAACATCCTCCTAACCCATCAATGCCTTACGTAGTACATCCATAAGGTACGGATACATGCACATCTCGGGGCATCAGGTCGCGATATTCAAACCTTTCTTTCTGCCTTGAACCTTGACACCAGCGCCTCGTTTGTTGATCTCTTCCCCCCCCCCCCCCCCCATACCCATACCTTGCCACATGAATGTCAACATTGACACGTCTGAAGAAAAACAAGCACGAGAAAAGAGCCACATCGCACAAAACGTAATGCCTACTTACCTAGTATGCGTGCATACACAGTAGACAAGAAAAAGACAGCGCCGGGTTCCCACGAGATGCAACACGCAAGGGACATCCAGAAACACACCAAGCCCAGGCCACTTGTCGCAAAGATACGGGACAGATGGACAGCAAAGCACCGTAACACCATCCCGTCAACTATGGCAACTAATACTCTTACGTGCCCACGCCCGGCCGGCTCTCCCTCCAGTGTCCGCTCGCCCTCCCCGTTCTCGTGGCCTCTTCCTCGTTCCAAACCAAGACTTCTTTTTTAGTCTTGCCAAGTTAGCCCTGCCATACCCATGCCGTCCCCTGTCTCCAAGGGAGTCCCTGACCTTCCTCCTCCAATTCTCCCGTCACAAGCTCCACCGTGGATCTCTGGAAACCTGAGAGAAGACTGGATTTGGAACAGCGGAGGATAGAGGAATCTTCCTGGGCGCTCGCTCTCCTCTCCTAATAATACAGCCTCACTATCGAGCCCTACACACCAAAACATACACAAAAAAGCTCATCCCGTCCTGGCCTCCCAATCATGTACTTACTTCCCTGTCTTGGCGGCCTCCCAAACCAATCTCTACACAGGCAATCCCTTCCCTCGAGCGCGCCTATCTCAACGCCGGATACCTTCCACGCGCGCATCTCGCGTGCGCCAGTCATCCCAACTTTTCGCTCCGTCCTTGCGTACACAGAAAAGGGTTCTAGAAAGGTCCAAGGGGGGGAAACTCGGGAAGGGGTGACTAGCGATTTAGGGGTCCAAAAAAGGGTGATCTCCTTTGCGTGTGTGGACTGTGGGTACCTTCCTGCTCCCTACCTTTCCGCCTTGCATCTCTGGTCGGGCACATCATCCGGATTTTGTGCATCTCACACTGGCCAACGACGCCGTCGCCCCGGCACTATGTACCGTTCATTGGGCTCCGAAAAAAAAAAAAAGCCAGGTATCAAATCTCATTATTTGGCACCACTCACACACAAAACTCGCAGACTATCCGTATGCGTGACAGTGCCTTTCCCTAAGATTACCTCAGGGGGTTGCTTATTTTAACCACCCACGCGATAGCCAAATTTCCCTGCTGCCCAACTCTGGATCGTTAGTCGTTCCCCCTCCAAACCGGGAAACTGGTTAACAGGTGTGAGTGGGCAACATACACCGCGTCCACGGAAGAATTAATTGATTCTTCCTTTGCTTGATTCGTCCGACGATAATCTCCCCTTGAAACCCAAGAGACTCTACATGTACTTTCCCGGGGACCATGACCCGACTCAGGAACGCTTCCACACACCGGCGCAGCGCGCACTGCGCTGACACCAAATTCGTCATTCAGTTGGCGCCATGACCATCCTTCAACTGGAGATACCCGGTCAGATACGAGGGCACCACTTCACATGTTCTTTCCCGTACGCCGGAGACGTGCCACTCAATCTCGATCCTGTCAGACTCCGGAGGCGCCGGCTCGGCAGTCATGACGACAACGGAGTGGGGAGACCCGGCTACACGGAGCTTCGCTTTGCCCATCAAGGTATCAAGCACTCTCACATGGCAGACCCCACGCAATACCACAGGACACCATCATGACCATCTTGAACCAGCATCAAATCAAAGTACTGCATATACAGAGCCTGTATTCTCTCTTTCATGTTCCTGAAGCAATGCTTTCTACCGTGCTGTACTCGTACAATACTCCTCTCGTTTCAGTCATTAATAATAGTGGTAGTCCCCCCCCTGGCTCCCCTTTTTTTTCAAACAATTACCCAGACGCCTTTCTTTGTTTTCGAACCCGAAAAAGATCTCCCATATGGATGGAAAAAAAGATAATAGAAGAAGAAAAACACAAATCCCCATGCTGTACTCAAAACGCCTAATTCTTTTGGGCCCACTCGCTTCTGTTGTTGTACATCCTCCCTCCCTGCGGCCTCAAGCAAAGCTGTCCTCTGCGTTCCACCGGCTGCTGTCGTCAGCCTTGACGGACACGGGTGCCCGCGCCGGCGTTTGCCTCTGAGCCGGCGCCGGCGCCTCTCTCGGAGCTTCAGCCACAGCTGCCGGAGCAACAATCGGAACTTGGGCGACATCGCTAGGAAGCAGACCTTCCTTCACCAACGCCTGGAATGAAGGGTCGCGGGCAAGCATGTGCTGGCGCTTGACAGGTAGCCCGTCCAGCAGCTTCAGCTTCTTGCAGCAGCCCACAAAAACAACCTGGTAGAGTCGTCGCCGGAGACGCGTCGTCTCGTCGAGACGCCGGGCAAACATGGCGTCCCTCTCCGGGTCAGCCTCAGGGAGCGTGAACGGGTCTGCGACGTGACCCTGGTCTGCCGACACGGTTACGTGGACTGGCGGGTAGAAGCCCTGCGTGATTGGATTGTCCCGCAAATCCAATTGTGTCAGGTGCGGGAAGTCCGTCAAAAGCTCCGTGACTGTCGTCGAATCTGCCAGGCGGTTGCCGGCAACGAGAAGTTTCTTGAGCCGGGGAATGAATCGAATGGGTGACAGGTCTGCGACGGCGTTGAAGTTAAGGTTCAACGAGCGCAGGTTCGGCATCAGCTGGCCGAGCCCTTCCGGTAGGCAACGGAGCCCGCAGTTGGCTAGCTCAAGCAGCTGTAGGTTGAGGAAGTCTACCTTGGGCTCAAAAGTGCCAATGTAGTTGCCAGAAAGGAAGAGTTTGCGGACTTCGTACGCCGAAGAAAGGAAGGAAAGATCCAACTGTACATCACCGCGCTGCTCTCTTAGAGACAGACTATCCAGATGCCGGGCTTTGGTAAAACCAGTAATCTTACTGATGCGGTTCCTGTCGGCATGGAGCAAGCGGACAGCTGGCAAGCGACTGATATCAAGCTCCAAGATATTGTTGTCGCTGAGGTCAAGATAGCGCAAACCGTCTAGACCCTGGGCATCTGCCGCAGTAAAGGCTTCGAGGCAATTCTTCGAGAGCTTGAGCGTTTGCAGAGAAGAGAGCTGTCCGAGTTCACGAAGCTCCGAAACTTTGTTGCCAGTCAGGTCAAGCTCGGTCAATCGGTGCAGCCTGGTGCCATCGAAATCGGCCATCTCGATCTGATTGTTTCGTGCCCGCAGCGAGAGAAGTCCATCATGCTGGTTCAAGCCATCCAAAGAGGTGAGCTTGTTATTGTCGGCCCGCAGGCTCCGGAGATGAACGAGGTTCTTCAACGCCGACAGACTGGACAAGTCGTTGTTGGAGATGTCGACGTACTGCAAGTTGGCGAGATGATCCCACGAGGTCAGCTCAGTCAATATGTTGTGCGTCATCTTGAGTTGTCGGATCGAAGTTGGCACTCCGTCGAGATGACCGATGCTGTTGTTAGACGCATCCAAGCTCACCAAACGACCACAGAACTCGTCCAGCATGTGGAGGCTCGACAATCGCTTCTCGCTCATGTCAAGTTCCGTGAAGTCCTCCCAGTAAGGCTCAAATGGCTCAATTTCCGTCAGGCGATCGACGAGCTCACGAACAGTCAAAGACAAGACCTTCTTAGAGCCGTCGCCAGTGACAAGACGCTGGTCCTCCACAACGTAGCTGACTTCAAAGCCGAATGACTTTTCGTGGTGGTTCAGTGTGAATTCTGACATGGGGCTCAGTGACAAGTTGCCAACGTTGTGACTGATAATGGCGCTTGCGTCCGGATAGAGACCGCCCATCCTTGTCTTGCCGGGAGTCTTGATGATGAAACTTAGACTCTTCTCTTGGTTCTTGGGAGAGACATAGCTCAAAGCACTGTTCTCGCCCAGGATACTGACTTGGCGCTCGTCAGCATTATCGCCAATGACACTATCCTCTTCCCTTTCGTCGATTCGGGAGACGGGCCGAGGGACAAATGACTGGCCGCGAAGCGAAAACTGTCGGGATGGACCACGAGCCGGAGCTGTACGCGGGCGTGGTTGCAGCAAAGTCCGCCGTGCAGTCTTCGTCAAGCTTTGGTATTTGCCTCGTTTGGACTCTTCAATCATCGAGTCCGCATCCACGAAACTGCCCTCGTCATCCTCGAGGCTATCGATATCCTCAGCGGCAACATCCTGTATGATAGAGGCAATGGGCGAAGAAAATGATATCGTCATTCGTCTCCGGGACGGTGAGGAGTCCACAATGCGATCCTCGTCGAGCTGGATCTCGTGCTCAACGTCTCCGTCTCCTGCCTTGCTTTCAAGCTTGTGGATCTCCGTTCTTGCCTGTAGCGCAATATCCCGAGGCAGTGCCGCATCGGGCGACAGCGTCACAAAGCCTCTGCCGGATGAGCTCCGGGGCGTGTCCATGGAGCCCTTTGGTGATTGTGTCATGTTGGCTTCCCGCTCTTCAGCCTCCTTCTGTGCTGTCACCAATCTCAAGTGTAGCATCTCTTTGGTAATGTCGACGGACAAGTCAGGAATGCTTGCAAAAGGGTCGTCTTCGCTGTCCTCAGACGGGATGACAACATGCGAACTTTTAGGTCGGATGCTCTCGCCCCTCCGTTTGATCCAAATGTTTTGTTGGCGATCAAGATACATGCTACCGACCTGATCCGGTATCAGATGCGACACACTCTGTGGCGCAATCGTTTTCCTTGACTCAGAGCCTCGAGAGGAGCCAGTATGCATGGTCCTGTTGGTAGATGCCCCTGACGAGTGAGTACCGAAATCGTCATAGTCGGTAGAGCCATCTCGCTGTCTATTCGGGTTCGCGGAGATACGAATGTTCGGGGGATCGCTGATGGTTTCGTCTCCTCCAAGATACTGGAGGTCATCAACAATGTTTCTAGAGCGACTGCTCTCTTCGATCTGTCGCTCAACCTCCTGCGCAGCTCGGATCGCATCTTGAGCTTGATCCATAGATCTAAGCGAAGATGTGATGACGTCTCCCATGTCGCTGAGCTCCTGGTATTTCTTGAGGTAATCCAGAATCTCTGGGTTTTCCTGGCGTTGCGGTGCTCTTTGCACTGGCTTCCCTTCGCGACTCGGAGGTCGAGACAATGGTTCCCTGGTCGACTCGTACGAGTCGTCAAAAGCAGGACTAGGTTCGCCGTATTCCGCATCGGATTCCTCCACACTGGTCAGGCCGCTGGGGGCCTTCACACCATTTCGGATCATGGCCATGATCTTGCCAGCCTCGTCCAAGAAGTCCTGAGTTCTGATAGATGGCTTACGGTCTGTGTCGAGTGTAGCACTGCGGTCATTGCCACTGGATGCGAACTGGGATCCACGGTGGGGGGTGCGTCGTACGGGCCGCTCTTCGTCTTCGTCTTCGGCATAGTCTTCGAGCAAGTTATCTTGGAAGGGAAACTCGCCAGCTTGCAGGGAAGACCTTGAGCTTGGGGTCGGAGTTCGTGGGCGTAGGATATGGCGCGTGGCCAGCACGCTGGGGTGTGCTCTTTGTTGCAAGCTTCCTGGGCGAGCGTCTTTGCGCTTCTTGCCCATCATGCTCTGCATCAAAGCATGGGTTTCCTGGACGGTGTCTAGAAGTGCATACCGCTCTTCCCTCCCATACGCAATGTCTGACTTGTGAAGTGTCCTCCTCCGCTTCGGCGTCGGGTCCTTCGATGGAGAGGTACGTGGTCGCTTCCCTTCAGATGCATCTCGTCTCTGTGGGGTACCTAGCATAAACGCCTCGGCTCCCGCGAACTGGACATTACCTCTTTGAACGCTCCCTTCGCTGGCCGATGGTGTGTGCTTGGAAGATGAGGCAGTCGTAGTGCCGGACTTTGCTCGCTTCCTGGGAACAAACATCGAGGCCTCATCTGGCACCGGCGAGCCCGCGACATGCTCGAATCGAAGGACAGACTCTTCATCTTCCGATTCATGTTCAGATCCCTCGTCATCCTCGAAAAATTGGGACTCCTCCTCAAGCCGGATGGACAACTCTTGATTGAATTGATAACCTTCGAGGTCGCCCGCACCAAACTGACTCACAGATCGGGAGCTCGTGGCCGTTTCTTGCTTTGGCACGGATAGGTAGTCGCCAGGAGCAGTATGCGGTCTTCGGTTTCTAGCAGCTGGGGCGAATTCACCGCTGACAGATTGCCGCGATGATCCAGATGTTTGATCCTCGAATTGACTGATGCGACGGAGCAGCGTCTGGTTCGTGAATGTATCGTACGGGCCGAACAACTTCAAAGGACTTGTGCTATTCGTTCCCGACGTGCCGGGTTTCTCCGGACTCGGGTTCGGCACACGCGGTGGTGGTGGGCTCTGAGACCCGAACCGAATCGAAGTGTAGCCGGGGGAGTACGTTCGTACACTTGGGAACTGCTTGGGTGTGCTAGCCTGCAGAGACTCTTCAGGAAGCATCTCAGACGTGTCAACGCCCATGCCAGGGCTGAGACCTCTGTATCTGAAGGACCCATCACCAGACCGGCCACCGCGCCGAGTGTTGAGGAAGCCTCCCTTTCTTGCATAGTCCTCGGTCGTCTCTGCTCTGTCGCTGTCCCCTTCTTCTACACTGCCGTCCATATCGAAATTGAGCTCACCCTGTGAGTCCAAAAGCATCTGATCAATGCGCAGTTTCTCGAGGCGATTCTGGAGCTGGTCGACGGGGAGTTCGGTGGGGGCGGAAGTTTGTTTTGCTTCATCCTGCTTCTGGCGCATCAGCGTGAGGACGATCGGACTAAAATCCTCGTTTCGGATGACACTATGTCCGCTGGTCTTCCTAGAAGCGTCGTTCGGTGGTGCAAGTCCTGAAACAGAAGCCGCCAGACTTGACTCCTGTGCAAAGGTATTATCTTGCTGCGGACTGAGTTGGCTTTGATTGCTGTGATCGGGAGAGCCGTCGGTCATCTTGTAGGTAATGTGCGGCGCGCGCGGTCGAGGGCTCGGGCTCGGGCTTGGATCCATGTGGCTCCTGCCATCTGATTCGTCTTCGTCATCTCCGTGGTCCTCGTGCTGGCGGTGGAAAAAGGGCGGGCTAGAGGGCATTGTCGTGTTTTGTCGCACGCTCTGATCGGCGATGGAATTATCTTGGGGAGGAGAAGGCGGCTTGAACATGTTTTCGAGACCTGTGGCTGCAGAACAGAAGAGATCTCGTTGTTCGCCATATGCGACGTCGCCGTACACTAGCCTGCGCTTCCATTCCGGAGTGTCGCCGGCTCCTCGTAGTGGAGAAGACCTGATTGATTTATGATGTACAGTATTATGAATGACAGACCCATTTGTTGAGGCTGAGAATGCGCGACTTGTTTGACGTGATTGATCGTTGGGCTTGATCTCGCGGGAAAGCTTCGAGGGGCCCCTTTGGGACAGTGGAAGATTAATATCATTGGTGCTTCGTTCGCTGAGGACACCAGTACTCTTGTCGCTGTTTCCAGCACTCGAAGGTCGTATCCTACTGACGGGGAGAGGTATGCGACTACCGGATCCTTTCCCGCTTGGTGTATTGTTGTTATCTGTCGGCTTCAGAGGCGGCAACTGAGCTGGAGAAGTCTCGGATCCAGCTTGCGAGGGCCAATCCTCGGAGAGGGAGTCGAGCCAAGCATGAGCCATCGTGAGTTGGCGTATGCGATCGGGGTTGAGGGACTTCCGAGACTATAAGCAGTCCATCGAGGGGGGTGGCAGATCGTCGTCGTGAGTTAATGTCGCGGTCTTGCGTTTGCGGGGTGCTAAGTTTGGTGGCTTGGATGCGATTGAAGTCTGTTTACGCGGGCAATTGCAATGTAGAAGTCGCGCGGGAGAAAATGCAAATGAATAAAATGCAGAACGGCAAGCCGAAGAAAATGGCGAAAAGACTGCTGGCGAAATCGCCTCTGCTGCGTCCGCTACCTGCGGTGACGTTTGGTCGTGATATGGGAAAAAAGAGGTGTTGGTATTGTTTCGTGGGGAACGCGGTCGAGCGATCGCGTTTGGGGCCGGCGTTATGTCAATCTCAAAAGCCCACCCTCAGTGTTGAATTTCCCCGAATAAACATAACTAATCCAATGTTATGCTTGATTGGCAGGCTCCAGGTTGCTGTGTCAACCGCCACAGACCAACCTTTGGATGGAACCAGGCCGGGCCATGGCCGTGACCCAAAATTCCCCGATCGTCCGATGGCGCTAATCCTTCTATCGAGTCGTGGGGGGTTGCATCTTCTTATTGCATCTACCTCTTATCCAAGTTGGAGTGAGGCAGGGTCTGTGCTGATCACCTGCGCCACAGCAAGTGCTCCAGCCACGGCGAGCGCGAGATTCAAATCAATTAAACACGATATCACGTGTAGACCCGCCCTAGACGCGGATGTTCGTGCTGGGTCGCGTCGTCTGGTGAACGTGCACGGTCACCGACCCGCCCAATATGGGACCTCTTTGTCTATTCATGTTTGTGCAGTGCGCTGGACCTGGTGACTTTGGCCTTTCAACGACAGACGACCGCAATCCGGACCACCGCCCGGCGCCAATGCGACCGTAGCGCTTCCGACTTCTCCCCTCCTTCGTCCCCGTTCCGTTCCTAAGGCTCATGACTTTTTACGACAAAAGTCTTTTCATACCAACACGATGGATATGAAGGATGGCTGGAGAGTCCGGCGACTGGACGACGAACCGATGTACTGCGAGGCTCCCCACGATGAATCGGATATCTTGTACGCCAGTCTTGACCACGAAGACCTCGAGAGCCTGAAAGAGAGGAGACGTCGATATGAAGAGGCTGCGACTCGATTTTTGCAGGGACATACGCCAAGGCTGCTTTCTACAGTTCTAAGAGGCCCTTTCGAAGGACCAGGCGCAAAAGGTTGGGTGAATCCATGGCAATCAAGCCGGAAACCAACATCAGCTGCCATCCCGCCACCACCTCCAGTTGCTGTCGTCAAAACCACCACGGAAGTCGAAGAAACCATTGTAGAAGAAGTGTATGTCGAGGATGCAGCGTCTTGCCATCTACCGAGCCCGCGAAGCCTGGATCAACCCAACTTAAGCCCGCACCCTTTCATGGAAACAGAGGAACTAGAACGAGTTGAAGCATGGCGAAATACTACGGAATCTTTGAGCGATACACAAGATTTTGCTTGGTCACTAGAAGCCTCTCTCTCGCAGCCTCAGTCACAGACACAACGTAAGCGACGGTCAACAGGTTCAGAGTGGCTGAAGCGGCAAGACACCAAACGACGAAAGGCAGAGGATACGAACAGTTACCGGGAGGACTCGGCTGCTATCCAGCGGGATAGCGCACGACTGAGCCAAAACGTTGTGCAGAAACAAGTGGACGCTGCCATGGAGGATGAGGCTGCAAGCTTGGAGAGCTCTCAAATAAACCCACAAACCCCGCGCAAGGGCTTGAACTCAAGTGCCAGTCGCTCGCACCAGCAACAACTCTCACAAATATCCAACAAATACGCCAGTGCTGCACAAGATGAGATACCAGCGCCGCTGAGCACCCCTATCCAGACTCCCCAGTCCAATAGGAAGGCAGTGGTTAAGACTGGAGACGATGCTCCTCCCAGCAGTGTTGTCACTGTGGTCAAGGAAGAGGAACGGGGTGAATTCGAGACGCAGCAGGACGAAAGCTTCTTATTCCGTGCAAGGCCGAGGAACCATGCCATCAATACCTTGACCTCAAGCCCCTTGAAGAGAACGTCATTTGGCCAAGTTTCTTCCGCTGCTTCCACTTCTTCGAGCGAGAGCGACTCCCAAGGCGATGTCCAAGATTTGGAGGGTGACACTTGCATGGCAGACGACACTAAAGCTACTTCCCCAGGATTCAGCGAGGAAGGTGGAGATCAACATTCCCCAGGGAAAGATACAGTGCAAAGAGGAGAGAGCGGCGAGTCTATGTCCAAGCCCCTGGGCAGTGAAATAGCCCTCGATGCGATGGAAACCGACGTGTGCCCCACGAAAACGACGGATGGCGAAATCTCAGAAATGGTTGAGGACCTTGATCAGCATCTGCCAGTTGAGACGGCCGCAGCAGCAGGAATCGCGGATTTGACATCGAGCCAAGAACCGACGGTTATGGCCATTGCTGCATCACAAGATCAAGAAGAGATTTTGGCACCGAAAGAAGCAAGCCCAGTGCTACAACCGCCGACGCCAGAAATCCAGGCCACTTCACCAAAGGAACCAGCAAGCCAAACCTCCAGCTCGTTCGCGGGCATACTACCGAACCTCTTCCCTCAAAGTCCCTGGTCGAAGCTGAGCCAGTTCATCATCCCGCGTACTCCTCGTCCGCCAAGCACCACTGGCCAGAGCCATGAACAACTGACTAGTGTCAACACGTTCACTGCTGAAGGCCCCAACGCTTCGCGGACACCGGCAATACCATTCACTGCGTCAGTTGTAGAAACTTCTGTGTCTGTTGATGGAACGCCTGATCGAATAGTTGAGCGACCCCCAGCACGCACTGCTGATAAATTGGTGGACGCAGCCAATCTTCTCAACAGTCCCGCCGTACCAGCTTCACAACAGAGCCCGTGGAATATGGACGTGCCAGTCATTGCTCAGTCTCAGCAGCAACAACAGCCGAGGAACAGTGATGCAACGAGTACCATTGACCCAAGCTGCCAGAGTCCTTGGACGGCTAGCCCGACCAAATTGCGCCAAGCTGCTCAAGAAGCTCTTATGTCAAAGCTCTTTAATGTTGCCGAACCAGCTTCGCCTTCTCCGCTTGCTCCCACCGCTGCGATGACGCCTACAGGTCCGGCTGTCACTGTTGAACAGCCCGACAACGCCGACACCTCAGAGCCAGTTTCGCCTGAGCCCATCTTTTCTATCAAGTCCTTTGCGAACTTTCTGTCCCCGTCGCCCGAAAAGCCACGTCGGCGGCTCAACAAGACTCGCCTCAGTGGCGGTCACTTGCCTAGTACGCAGAACCTCATCGCCGCTACAACCAACAATCCATGGGAAAGCGTACAAAAGTCTGTCAAGAGGGTCAGATGGGCTTTACTGCCCAACGAAGTCGAAGGCGAAGAATCTATGGAGAGCCGCAATCCTCACACGCCTACAACGCAAAGAGCTGCTTCGCCGCCGCCAGAAACCGCAGTAGCTGATTTGCCAACCGGCGAAGACGATCAGTATAAAAAACACTTCCAAGCTGTGTCCCTTCGAAAAAGGCTCCATCACCATCTCTTGCCCTCGGCATCTCAGCAAGTGTTGCAAAGCCCGGGCCCAATGGCCATGGCAGAGGCTTTTGTCTCTGCTGACTCCTTCCGAGCACCTCCAGCCCCAGTGGCCTTCGTACATGTCGACGAGGCCCCACTGGCGCAAGACAATGCCGACACGCAAGAGTCAGCCGTCGATGATGTTGACGACGTGCTTCGTAATCTTAACGAGTTTATCGAAATGGTCGATGTCGAAGCTGATCTCGCGAGAGCCAAGGAAGAAGAGCAGAAGCAGGTTGAGAAACAGCAACAGCAGCGAACAAGCCAGCCTACAAGCAACAGCTACACAGGGGGTTTTACTTTTGACGGGATGATGGACGCAGGAGTTTGGGATTGAGAGTTTGTGATCAAAGGAGATGACGTGGACGATGCATCATATATTACTGTGTTCGGATGCAAGCAACGAGCAACTGCGCAAGCGGCGTCGTTATGCGAATTATTATACTAGCGAGGTGTTTGGGGTCATGACAAAATACCACATCATGGGTGGAACAACTGCTTTGCTTTACTTACTCTACGACAAACAGGTAGTTGCTACTCAGTCAGTTTACTATACTTAGCGGTTCCGTCTTCAGCAAAGACTAGACCTTTGTCAAATGTTATTCAACTAGTAACTTGATACTCGTGCAACTTCTGCTGTGAAAGATCACTTGGCCGTTTGCAAGATAGGTCATGTGGTCGAAGTCGTCTACATTTCACGATGCCTCTGGAGTGCTCGCAAGCTTTCATCGGAACACCTCTCAGAGCCCGACGCAGAGGTTTCTGTCTTGAATTTGTAGACGTGAAACACTTTGCCGCTTACTAGTCCTCTATCTTCGCCCTTGAATCCAAGCAACGGAGAGCCTGATCGCTTGCAAAAGAAAATCCACGCGTCTGCACTGAGTACTGTAGCCTCGATGCTAGCAAGTCAACACTGCCCAGTCAATCAGCACCCAGTCACCCAAAAGCTACTGCCAAACACTTCCAAAGGAGGGAGAGGGCGAACTCACTACATAATGACCGGGAAGAAGCATTCCAGCGTATACGCCACCCGATCCGCGTAGCTCGTGACGGGATTACTCTGCGATATATTCAACGAGTGCGTAACGGTCCTCATGACCCCCGTCACCGCCAGCGTCGCGAGCCGGACCTCGGTGCTCCGCACCAGATACCGCACGAATCCGATCCGGAGACCCGCCTGCGCCGACGCCGCCCGCGCTTCCGCGAACGCGCCGAGGAGGAAGTAGGCGCTCACGCATTCCGTCATGGCGAGCGGGCAAAAGTAGCCAATGTGCAGGCCGTTGATGAGGCTCTGCAGGCTGCCGTCGGCGCGGAGGATGTGCTCGACGCGGAAGACGATGATGAGGACGCGGACGACGAGGACGGCGAAGAGGGCGAGCCAGAAGACCGTGGTGAAGATTTTGCGGCGGGTGCCGCGTAGGATGTTGCGGAGGATGATGTAGCTGTAGAAGGGGAGGCCGGCTTCTTGAACCTGTTGTTCTCGTGTAAGTCATCTGCATTGAGCTCCCACACCCATTCTCGGCATCCCTTGCTTACCATCCAGAAGAAATCCCCAAATGCCGCGACGACTGCTTTTCTTTCGAGAGGGTAGTACGTCTCGTCGTAGTAGGCATAATAGCACAGCCCGTTCGCGATGGCCCCCGCTGCCGAGGAGACGATGGGAACGACGGCGACCTTGGAGAAGGATGTGATACCGATGACGAGGAAGCCGAGAAGTACGTTGAGCGCCCCGACGGTACTCAACGGCGACCAGCTCAGCTCGAAATATGGCAAGTTGGACGGCGACTTCAAGGTGCTGTCAAACACGTTGAGTGTCCCCGAGGAGCCCATACCCGGTTAGCGATGGGCTTTGGCTACCCAATGAGGCCGGAATCCGAGTGTCTCTCAGAGCCTCATGTGTAGTCGTTGCCAGTAGCTTTCAGGCACTTCCTGTGGTTCGTCTGTGTTTGACTTGACGTTGACGTCTGCTCCTAGGGAGGAGGGTTGGCATTTGGAGCGATCGGGCCATAAATGAGTCTTCAACCCTGTCGACGGCTGTAGAGATGCCTTTCTCAAGCTCGGCTATTGCAATCAACGGGCCGGCGGGCCGTTTGCTTCAGTCTACCACTGCCGTTTATCAGCTTCTGAATCGGGTCGCCATGTCACTGGGTGCGGAGAGTTCTTCTACCTCTGGCATCCAGACCTCTGAAAGCCACGGAACGGTGGGGGCGGGGTTGTCAAAGTCGAGCAGTTCGAGGAGGATCTCGGTCTCGGAAGGACTATAACTAGCGGGGTTTGACATGGACTTTCGAGAGGCTTTATCTCGGAGCCTCACCGTCGGGACGAGAAGAGATGAACCTAAAATCCGTATGGACGGGTGCGGTTGACGCCGCGTGCCATCTGCGGCACATCGCGTCGGCATCCTTCACAGGGGATTCGACCCAAAATAAGTTTACCAACTTGACACTCGAAGATCTAGCCCCTCCTCTATGGCCCGTCTCGTATCTGTACGCGGCGCGGCTAATTCTGGGAAGACTAAATGGTATGACCGGAGAGTTACTGCCCAAAGTTTCGACACATATGCCGTTTGGGTGCCAGTCAGCTGAGGGCTCTAAACGCGTTCTCCTCCAGTCCGATACGGTTTACATCATTGGGATTATCGATCTCTGAGCAGACAACGGTTACCTTTTCCTCATTCCATAAAGATACCTCGGGAAGAATTCAGTGCGTGACGCAAGCATTGCCCATTGACAACATCAATTTTAGAGCTCTGATCATGATTGCGCGTTTATCCAAGGTTTCACCTTATCAACAATCGCAACTTCAAACCTTATTCTACCTATTCAAGAATGGTTATATTAGCAACAGATGCGTTTTCTTTCCGGCTCTTTCTTTCGACTCTTCATAAACTCGATATAGGCGTCAATGTCCACCAATTCTACTTAGTAGTTGAAAACTTATCGAGACGAAGTACCTTTCCCGCTCAAAGGTATCACTAGAGGCGTAAGCCACCGGGACATGCATGAGCTTCAGTATCAACTAAAAGGCCATAAAATCAAATCCACAGTCCACTCTTGACTAACAAAACCATCTCTGACTTAGGCCCATGTAGCAGATTTTCCGGTAATCTAAAGTTTGTGATTGATGTTATCAATTCCCCACTGCAAACAATACAACAAGTACTCCTTCCAACGAACAGAGATCGAGAGTCAAGCTCAGATTCTGGATAACATGAAGCATAGGCTGAGGTCAGGCTCCGTTTTCTCTCCCAGGTTTGCAGATGAAAGCTCGGTCTCAAGCATACTCAACTCCCTAATGACTTACAATCTGACAATTCCCAATCCAGGTGCAGTTTCGTCGAGCAATTTATGCTGCTATACTGATCCTGCCGTCGACAAATCACATGCTGCTGTCCCACTCCATGCTGCATGCCAGGAGCTCACTGCTTCGAACACGACGCCCAACACCACCGACATTGTCTCAATCTCAAGTCGACCTCTCAAAATGGTTTCATTGACGTCAGTCTTCAAAGTCCAGGTTAAAACCAAAGCTCTCACCCACTCGTCGTCGATTCCTGGCTTTCAAACCACTCGTTTGTGAATGGTTCATCCTCAACAACGATATGAAAACCTGAGTTACAGTTATGGTTTTCTGGTAAGCGATGTTTCAAAGGGAACACACCTCATGCAAAGTGTAATGCGTCCAGTCTTTGATTCTTATTCTCCTAGTCGAGATTCCCAGGACCTATATAACACTCCGTCCCCGTCAAGGTAAGATGTCGAGAACCGCAAGCAAGCACATTGCCTGTGGTTCGTCAGAGTCTTGAGATGCAGGGGATTCAGCCAACGCACTATCCCTTTGGCCAGATATCGCAAGCTGCCGGGGCTTCATGATTACCACTGAGTAAGGACACACCTCGGGTGAGGTGCCGAGCTAACGCATCTCATCAAACGTAATCATGCGTCAAGACAACCAAGTCTCAGTGATTCTATCACCAGTCTACTTGACGCACCCGCCCGATAATGCTTATTCACCATAGCAGCAGAAGCCCCTACTTCAACACAACTCGAAAAGAGCATACCCCCTACGACATCTTACAATTCTGATCCCCCTTTGGATGATACTCGAAGCCGGCAAGACTGGCTCCCACTTTCGTTACCAGAAACTGATCCCAACCTTTGCGTTGATGACTCAAGGTTCTGAAGGCGGCCTACGAGTATGTAGCTGAGATCGCTTTGCAATTATCAATAACCCATGAGATCGAAGTTGCCAGGCGTCTTGCTACCACTCGGTACAGCCTGTCCCCGATATTCTCGAGATAGTATGAGTCTTTGCTACGGCAATTGCGCAGAAGGCTATCAAGAACGGGATAAACGAGATAGATAATGTAGCCCCATGGAGTTTGACTTCTTCGAAACCCGAAACCAGAAACCCGAGGAATGACTTGGAACTCTGACAAAGTGCAGCATTTACTCCAGCCTCGACGGAGCCTTGCATATTTCCCACCAGGTACATGCTATCCGCACATCAAACAAGTCATCACAGAACAAAGGACATCGGAGGCGGTGCCTTCCCAGCAACAACACCCAAATAAACGAGCTCATTCCCATACCCAGTCATCTGGACCCCCAACGCAATGAGCTTCGACCCACGGCCCACAACTTCTATAACAGACGATCACCACAAGCAAGTATCTATCTAAACGTGTCGCGCAGGTCGTAATCCGACTGGATAGATCCCCGGTTTCCCATCAAAAGAGCCCCAGGTACCCACGTGGATGATATACACCGGAAAAGCTACTGCACATCAAGAGGCAGCTTGTCATTGAGACAAAACATCTAATTACCTCCTTTCACAAGTATCCTCCTCTCGGTGTCTCCTTCCGGGTTCTCATCCCCAGAGTTCCGGAAGCCTTAACCATACCCATCCATTAGCAGCAGCTACAGCCCCCCCCCCCCCCCCCCCCCCCCCCCCCCCCCCCCCCCCCCCCCCCCCCCCACCACCCCCCCCCCCCCCCCCCGCGCCCCCCCCCCCCCCCACCCACCCACCACCCCCCCCCCCCCCCACCCCACCCCCCCCCCCCCCCCCCCGGGCTCACCGACTCACCGTCTCCAAGGTTCAAGGATCTCAACACTCGCGGTGAGCCAGTGCCCTGGGTACACCTACCTACCATAGCAGGACGTAGGTTTCCGAACGATGAACCACATGGCGGATCCCCGATCTCTCTTTGGATAAGAACACAAGAAATGAGGAACCCGTGAAGGTCAATGCCATCCTCAGTGCAGCCGCGCCCGGACTCCTCTCAAAAAGAAAGATTCCATCGTCCCATGTCCGGCCGGACGTCTGGGGGCGTGTGTG